ATAGGTAAATACATGTATTTTTCCCTTCCCATCCGCTGTGGGAAGTGGAACGCTGGTGCGAGCCGGAGGGGCTGTTACACTTTAATGATGCGGTGGGGCTCCTCTCCGGATCGTGTTGCATGATCTGCATTTTGAATGAAGGAGAAGACCTTCTTACATATAGGAGTGTGTATGCCTGTGCACACACACACTGAAATCGGTGTCAGTCAGTCTCGGTTGAATTTGAGTGCGATTATTATTAAAGCGTCAGGAGTGCCCTTATTTTTTAAAATCTTTTTAAGTATATTAAAATAATTTTTTTAGGATAACTGTTTTCTTCTCTTAAAAATTACGCATACACAGATATACACTGTATGTGTGTGTCTGAAACTTGCAAGGGTTTAGTTTCAGGCTGGGAACACCGAGGTGGGCTGGAAATTAAGCACCACCACAGTTTGACACTTGTTAAAAATACTGTTGACTTCTTTTTAAACAACAAGACCCTCAAAAGATTTTTTTTGTTGTTGTTGTTCTTGTTTTTTTTTTTTTTTGGCAAAGTAATAATAATCATTAAAAAAGAAACCCCAATGCAAACTGAAACAGCCATGTCTGGAGAAGTGCGCTTGAAGCAGTTGGAGCAGTTTATTTTGGATGGGCCAACTCAGACTAATGGGCAATGCTTCAGTGTGGAAACCTTGCTGGATATACTCATCTGCCTTTATGATGAATGTAATAATTCCCCTCTGAGAAGAGAGAAGAACATCCTTGAGTATCTAGAGTGGGGTAAGTTTGAACGTGTTTATTTTGTGTACATCCGTCTGTGTTCCTGTCTGCTTTGTATAATGTCTCTGTTATTTATGTTTAAGGGGGGTTTGTTTATAACTCAGTGTTTTACTGGGAAGTGTTATCAGTTTTACTGTATTTAAACATGGTGGTGGTGCTAAAAAGAAATCCATATTGGTTATTTGTCTTTGAGGTATGCATGTAAAACATACATTATCTTTTTTTTTTCTGTTTTGACATGGATCAGGCTCTGGTACATGAGGCATAGTTGTTTGCCTTCAGGCCCAGCTGTTGAGTTTTGTATCCTGAAGTTGCTGGGAATATAGAAGGGTGAGGGATAAATTCCCTGATGCCTGGAAAAAACATCAGTACACAATCCTCTGATTTACATCTGCAGTCAGATCTATACTGCTTTAAAATAAAAGGGTGTCGATCAACAAGAAAATCCTCCATCTCTCTTGAACAATATGGGTTTGAAATGTCTGTGAAAGTGGAGAAAATGACATGCTCCAACATAAAGTCATTGCTGACTTAATTAGATTGATTTTCCTGATGAAGAAAACAGAGTTGAAAAGCAGAATGAAATTATGTGCCTCCCCAGCACCCTTTGAATTTTTTTTTTTATTCGTTTTGGGAAGATAGGGTATTTGCAGATTTTTGAATGAAAACAGGTGAATGATGGCATTCCAGTTGTTTGTAAGTTGTCACAGAACTGGTTGTTTCTATTTTTTCTTTTCAATTCGTTTTCTTCCTCCTCCTAAACAGATAGATGCAAAACAGAAGATGTAGTCTGACATAAGAACCTTGATGAGAACGGTTACTGTATCTGACCTTCAGACTTCAAAGTCATGCTGCATTTACATGCAGAACCATTTACCACATTTGCTTTGTAATAAATACATCAGCAGGCATCCTTTATTTAAAAAAAAGCACATTTTCGAAACACATAACAGGCATTTGATTAATTAGCTGGTTGAGCTCTTCATAATGAAGTCACTGAGGAAAGACATTGTTTTGATAACTGATCTAACAACTTGGGGCTGTTAAGTGTGTGTTTTATTTTCCTGCTCCTCACTGTAGTCATACTGACATCTAAAGGACATCTGACTCAGTAATTAAGTTTCTTGTACTGTTCATAGTGCACTGGTCTTTGTTTTCTTATTATCTGGAGGAGCAGGCTATAATTAATGTGTTCTTGCTAAGGAGGAAATAGTAATTAAAAGTACTTCTGAAGAATCTTCCTTCTAAAACTGTCACAGTGGCATACAGAAGCTCTGAAAGACTGGGAAAATTTGGTGGCTTCAAGGGTATTTTGTATGCAGGAACTTGGTGTAGTCTGCAGTGGATCTAGCCAGCTGGTACACTGTAAATAATAATTAAAAAACAGTTAAGCATATCAATATGATCAGAGTAACGGTGTGTTTAGGACCCATCATATTGGGTGCTGGTACGTTCAGTGGTGGTTGTTTGATGGACAAATGCCTTATTACAAGGCTCTGACAGTACCTGAAGATTTCTGTAGTAACTTCACAGGCTGCTGATGGAAGTAATACACTGTTTCGGAAAGGTTGGAGTAAGGTTTCTTCCTGGCCTGTTTTTCCTGCTGCTTTTCCGGTCTCATGCTCCAACTGTGCCTTAGCAGGACTGTTGAGCTTCAGACAAGACCAATCTCTCCCATTTTCAAGGCTGAGTTGCCAGAGTCTTCAGTCTGCTCCTGGCTCTGCTATCCAGACTTCTGTTCTGAGAATTTTTTAAGAGGGTTTGTGAGATGAAATGCAAGAGCAACGGTTTCTAGTACCTGCTGTTGGAAGTAGCTTCTATGTGAATGGTGTCTGTATCCTTCAAACACTCCCTTGAGTTGTCTCTTCTGAAAGCAGCCCGCCCAGTGAAACTAGCGGTCTCTGGCACTTCTGGCAAAATCCGGTTCTTACAGAGGTAGCGTACCCTCCAGTGCTCAGGTGCAGGGCAGTTACTAAGGGTACCCTGTTCTTTGATATAATCGTGACCTTGCATATCTCTCTCCCCAAAAGGGGAAACAATGCAAATGGTTGATTAGAAAGAGGTTATATATCGTTTTAAAGTCAGAGACGTGTGGAGTAGTGGCAGAAGTGGAAGGCTGGCAGCCAGAAATCGTAAGTTTCATTAGTGACTCAATGTTGAAGTACTTTCAGTTGGGTGTTTTTCAGCTTCCCTATTTGAACAGTAGGGAAAATACCACCAATTTTACACCAGGGAGTTCTGAAAGCTGCTGTATGTGAAGCACTCTTGGTTTTGAATGTACTGTAGAAAACAGTGTGAATTAATTTATTTTTCCCATCAGTGAAACAAAAATTGGTGCGTGGTATGTCTACTGGTGGGTGTGCGAGCTGGTTGCTGTCTTGAAAAGACACTTAGTGGGTTTATGCCAAGCATCCACGATTTTTTTTTTAATCACTATAAAGAGTGCACTCTGAAGTTTTTGGAACTAGTCTTGGAATGGTATGAACTGGTATGTTTGTGCATTTACAAATTGCAAAGAACAAGTTTATTTCTGAGAACTGTTCATCATTCTAAGCTTAAGCTGCTTTTTAAAATAATTATTTCGAGAAGCAAATAAGTTTTATGTATATATTTAGTTATTTTTAAGAAAAGGCTAGTAAATAGCTGTTTGATGATCACAGACTCCTGTTGAGCACAGCAGCAAACAGTTTTTTCTTCCTTTTCAGTGCTGCAGTTTTGAGGTGCTACTGTTAGGTTTTGTGGGGGTTTTGAGGTGGGTTTTTTTTGGTGTGGGGTGTATGTGGATGTGTATTTCTATTTAAGCTGTTCTAGGTCTGAGATGTTACGTGCTATATTGCATGTAAGACTGAATATTCATAGCACAATCTAAATTTTTTGGGGGAAAGGTTTAGGAGGTATTCTAGTGTGGAAAAGCTAATGTGGTCTTCGTGATAGCCATGTGACTGCTGCTATATTTAGGAGAACTAAGAAGCTTCATGTTCTAGTCCTTGGATCTTTTAGGACTATTTTATGAACTTGTTATCTAGATCTATAATTTATTTAAAAATGAAGCAGGGTGAAATGGTTGAGCATTTGAACTGGTTGTTCATCTTTTGTTTTGGTTTGGTGTTACAAGTTCAACTCAGCAAGTGGAGAAGTAAGGTCTCTGCAGTGTGAAGTTGAGTTTTCCATTTTTGTAGGTTTTCAGTCTTTTTGAGGTGCTTGAAATGACGTTAGACTGGTTTGAAGTGTCAGGTTAATTATTTCGTGATTTAAAATCTGTGTTACTGCTAAAATCCTTTTCTTAGCTTAAAGTGAAAACATAATTACTTTCACTATTTTTATGTGTTATTAGTTTTGTGACATACAAATAAGATGATTTGATTTTGTTGTTTATTTTACATAGGTATTTTATATGCAAAGATAACCATGAAAACAACTGTTGTATGTGAGTTGTCAGGGTTAAATCAGGGCACATTTTGAGACGGGAAGGAAAGGGAACATTTAGATTGGGCTTGTTCTATGTATTTGATGGTAGTTTTTAATTTTTATCTCCATTGATAGTTGTATTTGTGATTTAGAAAGAAGATTGCCTAATTATAGCAGCTGGAGCTTACCAGAGAAAGCTATTCAGAATTCCAAGCATTTTGCTTTTTCTTTTCTACATGTGTATGAATTGCCACAATGACTCAAGACTGTGAGGGAGGTAATGAAGGCTGATAAGCTGAACTTGAAAGAAAAATGTAGCGATCGAAAGAAGCTTTTGGAGATGTTTTTGTTCTGGGAAAACTTCCTTTACAATGGCACCGATTTGAGTCAGTTTTAAAAAGAAACTAGAACAATGTTATTTAAGATGCACTGAAAGAAAAGTAGAATAAACTTCAAAATGTGTGGAGATACAAGGGAGGGAAGATGGAAGGCACTCCCACTAGCATGGTGAGGTCAATGACTTGGTTGAATCCATTCTCTTGTAGGAAAAATGTAAACTGTCCTTTAGTGGGTTTTATGTTGTTTTTTTGTCTACCAAAGGAGGCTTTGTAAGATGGATTAAATTGTTCTCATTTCACTTCTAGGAGAACTGAAATGTTGTGGTGTTTATGCAGTGCTGATGTGGTCATAGACTAGACTGTGATCATTGGTCTCATAATGCTGATGTTCAGATGTGCAGCATCTCTTCTGGCCTTTAAAAATGGTTCTATCATCACAAATCCATTTTTTCAGTATGGGGTTGTCTGTGTTTTTTTTCCTGGTGGTCTCTGTTGTGTTTTTTCGTAAGAAGAAATTTTGTACCCATTTTTGAGCTAAGCTGGTTTTTAAATATTAATAACAAAACAAAATCTTGCCTCTAGACTCGTACATCATTATGTTATTCGTTATTCATGTGTTTGTAGGTCATGAAAGAAATCACATGCATTTTCACCTATGAGTTGCTTGTATATTATTATTAAAATAAACTGTTAAAAAAATCCCTTCATTTCCATCCTGTTCTTAGCCGAGACAGCAGTAGAAGACATGTCACTCAACTTGTTTCAGTGTTTAGTATTTTTTTTAAAGTAGACTTAGGTGCTTAGTGCTATCTAACCTATTAGAAATACATTTTAAAAAACCCCCTGCATTCCAGGAATGATTTGGGCTTTTTTTTTTTTTTTTCCTTCTTATAGTCTTAAAACTGGGAATACCTCACTTTACTGCTTATTTATGTAAACTGTTGTTTCTGTTATGTAGCTGCAGCTAACAATTAAGTGCATTTTATTGATTAGAGTGAGAGAAGGAAGTTCTTCAATGCTGTCAAATAGAAACAACCTTCAAATCTCCATCTTTCAGAATACTGTGTGAGCAGCTTTTATAGAGATGCAGTTTTATACCAAATTACTTGAAAAAGAAGGGGAAAAAAAATTGCTTGAAAATATGTCGGAGAACAGATGCCTGTGCAGACCTTACTGTTAGGTAGCTCTGTGTTAAACCTCTGTACCTTTTGAATTGTGACCTCTCCCACATTTGTTTCACTTCTGATTCTTGTC